CCGTTTCATATTCTTTCAATCGTCTAATACCACAATGGGTTGCAGTCTATACTTGCGCATAATTTCAGGTAAGTATCTATCTGCTGATAGCAATTTTTCGAAAGAAAGGATGAAAGATTTTACAGTAGTATTGTAGCATGCTTCAGGTGGAATATTATTGATTATTACGTCAATTTAAGTTAGAAAATACTCTACAATGAGAGTCGCCGAAAATTCTCTATTGTGTATAAACGTATTTTTTGGGATAAAGCTATTATATGAAAGAATTTGCTGGATGGTGACTAGCAGTGGAATCCAAGATTCTCATTTAGTCGCTTTTGGGACTAGTCAGTTAGACGTGGCTGAATTCTCTAGTGAGTGGTGGTCTTCCCACTGAGGTTCGAACCTAGTGCTCATCGTTTCAAACGCCAAAGAGTTATCAACTATTCCACTTGGACAAACGAACTCCACCTCCTGTGCAACGGGCATCAATTATTATGCAATCCAATTACTTCGTTACTTGTAAGTTAAATCCTCATACATTTTCGAAGCGTCTGCGAAAGGAGCCGATATGTAAACAGAGGTCAAACACTTTGGTTCAATCTGTCAACGCGAAAGTACAAATTGCATTAAATGAAGCTACTGCTATCAAAATAGTCGTATACATATGTGTATATATATTCAGAGTTGTTTGACTTTACTGGTGACTGAAACTCTATTGGATACAATGAGTTGATATCATTTAGAGAACCATTGTGAAAAAAGGCATTACTGGACAGCTGTTTCATCCTTGTTTGCAATTCTTCACGGTGCGATTCACTGGTTTTCGAAATCCTTGGCCTTCTGGTTATAAGGCGAGCTCGTCAACCACTCATCCGCTTGCACCCAATAGAATAACCCGTGATATCCACCGTAACCACCAGGCGGTGTTGTCAGCGAGTAACTGTCCCTTAACCTGACTTCGTGGATCCACATGATCACGACTCCTAACTAGAAATTAAGCCAATTTCCTACATACAGACGGTCGTTGGTGAGCATTAGACTAATCTTCAGGCGTTTGTTTGCTTTGTTCAATTTTAGCTGAATTTCAGCTTATTTTATTACTCGATATCAAGTTATGCATTCTCTTATGAATAAATGATGAACTTGAGGAATGATGTGAAAACTTTAACATTTCTAATAAAATCTCACCTGTAATGACCTAACACGTGATCAGCGTCATTCATGTGTTTAATTAGTCCTTTTGCAGTATACTTCTCACAAGATAACTGGAAAAAATAAGATGAATAAAAATTTGAATTATTTCCTAACTTCAATAGGTTAATGTACAATCTTCAGATAATCATGTCGTATTCAGTGTGTAAAATAGATTAAAGAACCGACTGATATGATAATAATAACAGTAATAACAACATGTTTATAAACGGTAAAGAGTTTCTAGTGTGCTCTTATCTACGTCTTATATTGCATCTTCAAGTAAAACAGTAGTGTACAGTGTATCATTTGACGGAATTTCATGCTATCTGCCACATTCTCCGACCCCCGAGAGATTTTTCCTTTCAAAAAGCACCAATCAGTATGTTGGAAGCAGTTCAAAAATATACTTGAGTGCAGACCGTTCTTCAAGAACGCAAATAGGTGGTTAAAATAAGCTGCAACTGAGTAAATTTGATACATCACGGTCTGTAGACGATTATATAGCCCAGTGATTTAAGGAAGTCACGGAGGAAGTTCAAATAAAACGATCAAGGTTAAGTTTAGTTTACGTCTCTCCAGTTTTGGCTGATTCCGAAGTCATTAATCTCTCTCTCTTCCAGAAACTGGTGAAATTATATTTCGAAATGCGAGGGCATCTAAGCTAGTTACATTAGAATGCTCACAGAGAATAGCCCACAGGGAGATGTACTGGCTGTATTTCTTAATCAGAATTCGAACCTGTTCCACAGGGTAAGCAGTACAAAACTATAGCAGAGCATCTCCCCTTATGTGAAATCTTCGAGATTCACTGCAAGTGACATACCCCTAAGTGTCCTTCATTCCATTAAGAGAAGCTTGCCGCTGATGATTATGAAACTGTTGTCTAAGTTGTTTAAATTAGTATCGGCGGATGAGCATTTGTTACGCTTTCGAATATCTTACTACTCTGAATAGAACTCCATGAATGGTTTGTAAACGTCTGTGAACGAAATGGCGCTGATCAATCCAAACTGAAATGTGCATCAATCAAAACGGTATATAGCATATATCTTCCTATAAATTGCAAGCATCTGGATGAGAAAAATACTTGTCAGTGTCTTTTCATAAGTAAGTTTCTCCCACTGTGAAATATACTCAGGGGTCTACTAGTTTTTGTATAAAATATGAGAGCAAACGAAAAAAACTACATACCTGAGCGAAAGTAAAGAAAAACGATTGCTCGGAAGCGACAGACGAGATCGTGTTTTCATCAGCATCTTTAGTGAGGTTTCTCCTCAGTCTTTGAAATGTCTGAAATAAATAAATGACAGGAGTAAATATTATGGTTAGAAGTAAATTCAATAGCCTGTATATCAACCTGTGGATTCTTAGCAGTTTTGTTTCAATACAGTCTAATACTATATTGCTTTTTATACAGCTGGAGCCTTAACATCTACAAAACAAAATGCAGGTTCCAGTAGATGGGTGCAAATATTGATTCAACCGGTGTGATAGCCTACTGGTGGTGAATTCAAACAGATTTGAAACACTTTGCATTTTCGGTGGTCCGTTAGACTCACTTGCTGTTCAAACAGTTTATGATATATATATGAGAATTATTTTGTCAGCTTTTTTGATTCCAACAATAGCGTCCCTTAGTTAACATTCACATTAGCACCATGATCAATAGTGAAATCGGCCTCTGAATAAACCTGATTCTGTCTTCTTCCCTTGACAAGGATCAAACCAGGCGCCTTCAGGTTACGAGGTAAACCCGTTGGACATTCAGACACCTGGACGGAACCCAATGGTCAATTTATGAAATATAGCAATACTGTCATGTTTTTCATCAGCTGATCTTATTCTCCAATTTAAATAAGAAATGAATCATGAGAGTAAAGTGGACAAATAACGTGAAAACCTCCTGGTAATCTGTGTACGGGGAGCCGTTTATTACAGCACAGAGGAATGAATCTCTAGTCTGCAAATAAACCTGTCATAGTGTACACAGTGATCACACAGTGGTAGATGTTTTAATTATTACCGATTTCAATTCGTCTCAGTACCGTGAGCATAATTAAAATGCATTGTAAGCGCAATATCGCTTGAAATTAAGTCACGCGTAGATAAAGGCCATCCCGGTCCAGAACAAACAAGAAGCCGGTCACTGTTTCTACGGTACTATTAATTAACAAATCAATAAATATATATACAACAAACCTTAACGGTTTCAAGAGTACAATACACAATGCTTAACAGAAAGCAAGGAACCGCTATCAGAGCGGAATAACGTTAAAGCCAAAATTACGAACTAGCCGGATCAGACACGACCGTTCAGGTAGGCAGTCAGTAGAAGAATAAACCCAAGTAAGAGGTAGACAAAGCATAGGCACAAAGATAGAATTTAATTGGCTACTTAACCAATCAATAAATAAGATAAAATCAACAGAATAGTACAGAGTAAGACATGGGTCAGCAAAATAACAGTTCACAAAAATACTCTGATTGGGTTATGAGTTCAACTGTCTGACTAAACAGATCGAAGTAAAAACACACACAGTTCATTAAGCAAGGTGGGATAGACACGTTAGGCATGGATAATTGTGTTGCAACAATGCTAGGCTGATCCGGGACAGGTTGACTTGATTCAATGATGGGAATTGAATTGATCTTACATGCATAGTACCTTGAAAAGTTAACGGCAGTGATTTCAGCATTGATTACCACTTCTTAATTACACTGTGTTGTCAACTAATAAAGCAGATACTTGTTTTAAGTAAAAGAGAAGATTTCTCAATGTATTCTTAGATGAGGTATCTCATAACAAAGAATGCCTTTATTTGAGCTCTATTAAGTCTAGGTCGGGTAAGATGATAAGTTGGATTTGCTTCTCGAAGAAAATTCGAAACACGTATTAGAAGTGCTCCACATGAACACAGCAGCTTATGTCTAGACCATAACCGCTTTATTTCCTTGTGATTCTTGAAAAGTCAATATTCCAATAGATACCACTGCGCACTAGTACTATCCAAATTTGGCTGTGAACACTTCATGGCATGGTACAATACTTCTACTAATCTTACAGTGAATTTGAAATCATCTTCAACTCTCACAGTTCCAGTAACTTTTTTTTGCTTTCACGTTCCCCACTGGGAAATAGGGCTTCAAGCTAATGGCTTGAAGTTTCTATAGCAGTGTTTATTTTACAGGATGGGGTTGCTAGCCACATGTACAACCTTTCCTCTCTACCAGCATTATTTCTGGCTTGACGAGGTGAAGGAGTGCGTCGGCTGGGGATCGAACACCGGACCATGTGCATGGTCAGCGAGCGTCCTAATCGCTATACCACCGACCTGGTAGTTTATAATTTCGAAAAGACCTGTCTAAATAAATTTTCCTAATCAAATGTAAGTGTTCATTAACTATTAGTGTTTGGTGATAAAACCAACTACGTGTGTCTTCCAATAGAGTTAGACGACTTAGTCGAAAGCGGTGTCTTGGCCTTTAATGTTTGATGCCTATTTATTCAAAAACAGTGGGAGTCATGAGTGTGGCAATAATGTGATTCTTTGACTTAATTAATGGAATAATAAAATGCATTTCTTAGGACACATCTGATATGATAGTCCTCTGCATAACGCAAGCTTCGAAATTCCTGACTCAAATTTCGACCCATTTGGTCTACTAATACTCTTACAGAGAAAGACTGCAATCTTGGCAGATATACTCCACTTTCAATTGAAGTAGATAATTTCTTGTGATTCAGTTGAAAAAATGATGAGAAGCATACTGGAACATTTATCACAAATACAGACCAGCTGTCAACAAATTTCAGTTTCTGGAAGTCAGCTTAAAAACCCATCTGATAGTGGCAAAATTGAAAAATGGGCTAAATGTTGGCACTCAGTGTAGATAATGTTAGGATAGACATTATTATTCTGTATATATCCCTGATATTAAGAAAGTCATATCACACTTACCTTGTATGCTATCCTCAGACCACCGTTATCTGACAGAATTTCAGCCAGACCATCAATTGTTTCACTCTGATAATTTGAAATAGGATTATTGATAAATGATATGAATTAACATCAGTTTTGAATAAACAAAGAAGCAGTCATTAAAGTCCACATATTATGAAAACTAAAGTTCATTCTAGTGTGTTTAACAGGGTCAAACAAGTTTAAGACGGTTATCTGTGTTCCACTGACCTAAGAATATGCTTATCAGAGGCCATAACACTTGCAGGTACTATGAATTAACACGGAATTCTACAGGAAACCTCTACCATGACTTTGGTGGAACACAGATGTCAATACCAAGCTAGATTAGTGCAAAAGAACTTTTCAAACTATTCCTATGATACATTACTTTAAAGCTGAATGAATCGGATGACTGTAGATACCCTTTACGTGTTGTAAAGAAGAGGGCAGCATTAAACCAAATGTCCTACTGACCATCGTAAAACAGTGACGAAGTCACTGAGCTTAGCTTACCTTTGTGGAATAAAATGCAAGCTAAGAAAATATCTATAATGTAGACTTATTGATTTATTTCCGTAAACTGAACAATAGGAAAGATGAAAATGAGACATTGAAGAACTTCTCTCAGTTTGTACACACTACATTCACGAACGAATTCAAGAAATTGAAACTTTCAAAAGTGTTTGTGCTCTTTCTGATAATGATGATCAAACATAATCTACGCGTATTCTGTTGTTCATACAGCGTAGGCAAGCAAAGATAATTTGACGAATTTAAATATTTTTTATTTACCACATGCAACAAACCTTTTCACTCGTATAATTGTAATTTTTGTATTGTTTTCGTAGACATTCTGTTTGCTTCAAGAGAGCAAGAAATCCATGATGTGATATACTGTGAGGCCTGTCATCTCCATTCTCATCGACAAGTATACCTTGATTTGCATGAAATGTAATTAGATTTATTTATACTTATTTATTTTTGTTCAGTAGAATAATAATAAGATGAGTGTGTTTTTATGTTACTTTGACATTTTGAATTCAGTGCAGATTATAAGCAACTTTGTTTAGCATATTGACTGAAATGTGACATACAAGACAAAATTTATTGGATGAATATTCTCTTAGAGATGAATCTTTACTGCATTGTAGCAGCTAATTTAGGGTGCATTAGAAGTCACTCATGGATATATATAAGCTAAGTCTAAAAGTACACTGAAACTGCGGATATCACTGAGATTATTCTTCATCATGGCGCAAAATTTCGTACACTACATGGGTGAGACTGTCAATGAGATAATCGGTGATGAGTGGTTCAAATACCGCATACAGAAATATGATAAATCGTTTTAAGTATGCCAGACAGCATACTGAATGATTAGGCAATACTATTCTGAAATTTAGGAGTAAGAGACCTGAGATATATGAATTCATGCATATAATGAAAATATGCAGAATTCTAATGTGAATGTCAGTGAATCTTCATATCGGTTGCATACACTTAGATCAAAGTCATCAATGAGACATTCTCAAACCTTTCTTACTGTTGTTCATGCCTCCTCAAAAATATCATCACATTATTATGGGCTTATCACTCCTACCGAAAATACCATTGATAAGTACTAGTCGAGAAGAACGTTTGTGTATTTTTAAGTTGTTATTCTAGATAAAACTAGATAATATCCCTGACTGTAGTGGACTGGACTATGCGAAAGACTACGACTAGGGAGCGAGCAGACAAGAATACGTTGGATTGACAATGACACTCTGGAAGATCTGGCAATCAAAGACGCTTTATGACTGATTACATAGAAATTCAAAGACTTACAGGTAAACCTAAGAAGTTGACAGAAGACGCTGGCAGCGAAGAAATGATTAAAGGTAAACACAGGGAAGACGAAGATGCTGAAGATAATCAGCCGACATTAACAAAAATTACAAGGACCGATCAATATCAACGGGAGTAATTTGAAAGTGGTCATTTCCTTCATATAAATAGACAGCGCCATCTTAACTAAAGGTCAGCAGAATGGATGAGGGTGTCAAAACTAGCCACAATCCAAAAAGCAAGGCCCACCTACATCACTCTGAAATGAGTTTGGAAATCTTCTGCACTAACTCAGCATAAACAACAAAATTCGTATTTTCAACACCAATTTCATGATAGTCATTTCTTCTTTATTTGCTCACAAAAGGCATATCTAACAGGCTACTGCAGACTTTCATCATAAGCTGGCTTCTCCAACTCCATAATGAAGATCTGATGGCCAGCAAGAAAGAATTAGCGACAGGGGAGTTTGGCAACGAAACAATCAAGAACCTAATGCTCAACAAATATGTAGGAGAAAATGGAGATGGATCGGACACATACTGAGCAACCCATCGAATGACATCATCCATCAGACCATCGCTCGATTGGACCGCAGATGAGAAACGACGAGTTGGGCGCTGATCCAAAGTTGATACTGGAAGCTAGCATGAAGAGGAGATGAGAGTATATGAGCAACCGTGGCATCAGTTAAAAAGGACTGTAGGGAACTGGATGATATGGAAATGTGCTGTTAAAACCCTATGTTCCACTCGAAACCCAGGCGAATAATAGAGAAAACAATAAAAGTAATAATGTTGACCAACATTTGTAATACCTCTGCCGATTTCGCTAAGATAATCACCAATAAGTCATATCTAAGGCTACAAAATAATTCAGACAATATGACCGTCATATTTTTTCCGGTGAAGTTGAGCAACACTAAGTTACATCAATGCAGAGGAGAGATATTTAAATCTTCAGGTTTCCAGTAAAGCTACTCAGTGAACTAATTCGACTGCTTTTCAATCTATAATCAGTGTAAGAACGAAGGTATATCAGTAATTCAGCCGTAAAATGCTCGCTAACCACCTTCGTAGTGTGAATTTGATTCTCAGATCCCAGTGCACTCTTAGGCTTCGCCTAGCTGGTGGAAAGTGGGGTAGGGGGTAAAGGTTGGATGCAAGTCTAGCAACCCACTCTGTAAACAAAGTGTTTCTGATACTTGAAAGCTCATAAATGAAGCCTTGTGTTACACTCGAAAATAAAAGGAATGTTAGCAAAGGGAATAAGGAAAATTGATCTGAAGTAATAAAGATGTGCAACGGTTCAACAGAAAGCAACACTTCCACATTTTTTAAATACCCGCAATGAAGATGACTACAATTTCACTGAAACAAGGTCACGAACATACGAGCTTAATAAATGAGGGAAACACCCAAATTTTCTCTTGCACCCTGGGATATTCTCCCCAAAATTGTCTGTCAGTTTAACACATGCCAACAAAGGTACGTTAACAATCTAATAAAAAACTCATTTTGTTTCGTCTAGTACAGGATGTATCAATAGCATGCAATATTTCATGAGCTATGGACCAACCCAAGCCCCCATATCTTTCGGAAATAGTTTGATCATCGTGGTAAAACGGTAGATTCATTATAGCGCCATTAATATATATGCGGTTTTCAGTGGGCGAATATGAGGGCGACGGTATGTAGGTTGCTTTTTCTGCATCCAATCTGTGCATAAAAAACGAAAATAAAAAATCATCAAGTTTCTGATGGTTTCTGGAGAAGCGACGGATTAAGAAGAATTTAGGAGGCAAGCAATATGTTACATGAATCAAATTCTCAATTAGCAAGAACATTCGCCGTTTTCGAAAGTTATTCAACTGCTGATGCACTTTCACTGCAGGTTCCCTTAGAAACCAAAATCGCTCTCACCACCGTACGTGATTTGCTTGGTACAAGTTGGCGCATGCGGCCAGCCAGTATTCGGGTGACTACGCCCCCAAAGCTGAGTCGAATCGGGTGCACTGATGATGAGTGCGATCCCAAACGAACGAAACTGTCTTCAGAAATTCGGATCACTTCGACCTTCTCAGCTGTATTTTGCAACACCTAGAGTATTCTTGACACAGAGCGGAAACGTAAACTTACTCTGAAGTTATTTCCACAGCATGTGGAAATCGTCGAAAATAAGCACAGACCTCAGAAGCTGTGCCAATTATATTTCAAATACTCAACTTATTTGTCTCAACAAGTGATACATAGTGTCTGATAATACTAATACACTAATGCATTCCTCTTGTTCATGAGGCTGATGATAATTTGAGTTTCTTTCAATTTTAGCTATTATCATTATTAAATTATTGTGCCCTTTGGTTACTAGACTATACTAGACATTATTCATCTGAGTAGTTCAGATCTTCTAGAGTCTTCTTATAAGTTTAACCCTTTTTTGTCTTCTTGCTGTCCACTCACAGACTCTCGAAGTACGGAATGTAATGGGCGCTTTAATTCCATTGTGGGTGAATTGATTTTGATAAATTCTCACAGTGCTTTACAGTAATATTTACTGATGACGTTTTGAGCTCAATTTATTGCTGCTCATAATCATATCAAGTTCGGTGATTTAGTTGGGCAGTCTTGTCTTACTTCTACCTTCATTTCAGAGCCTTGCAATGAGTTTTCTGTTCTGAGCTACATGACACTTGGCACTATCATCTAGCCATCCGCTGAATGAGGCTGATAAATATCTATTGCCCTGCACACCACAGTGTTGAAGCCGTTTCCACATTGCCTCACTGCCATCGCTGTCTACCGAAGGCCTCTTCAAATTGGATGAAGCTGATGTAGAATGAGAGTTGATTGCCACTCAATGCTCTATTCGATGATGTTGCATAGAGCTGCAATTTGGTCCACACATATTTTGGTTTCCCTGAATCCAGACTCTAACGGTCAGAGTTTCATATACAGGAGATATTCTACACTTTCCAGGATGACGTGACTTAGTATTTTACTAGGTGTCGATAATTTCAGCTAAGCTGTACTAAAACCTGTCGATTATCGACTGACTTATCGAATTTCACTTACCTTCCTACCCAATGATTGCTCTATATGTTACACAAATTTTGTGAGAAATCTTGCATTTAGGACGATACATCTTTGGAAACATTTCTTTTCTTGCTATGATAATGTACTCTATATGTTTATATATATGTGATTGTACAGCTTCAAAATGCATCGGTGGCACAGCAGTTAGGACGCTCGCCAAAAATGCGTATGGTCCGGGATTTGATCCCCGGCCCAAGCACACCTGATACCAATGGTCAGCCTGCTAAATGTAGGCTGCCGATATCCCATGCTGAAAATTCCATGCCTGTTTCAAAAATACAGTGTGGAGTCAAGCTATAATAAAATAAATAAAATAAACACCTCTGAAAATGAGTAACTTTCACTGAAAGCTACTTCTTTTATTTAGCTCAATGGAGATTCTCCAGATACAGTTATATGTCTAAAAAAATGAAGAGCTTACTTTTTTTGGTGATTAATAAAATTCGAATAAATCTGCTGAAGAAGCTGTGGCTTACACAGCGCAACGTTCAGAAAAATCTTGTTTTGATTTTTCTTAAACACCCTGGGATTAATTTAAATAATTTATAATGAGGAATTATGATGCTACGAGATTAAAGAGACAACTATGCACTGTTTATCAGATTACAAAATTCTTTTGCTGATTTGGTTTTTGCAGATCCATTTCTCTTTTATTATCATACGATTTTAGTCCTAACAGTTGACTGAAACGTCTCCTAGCCTGAGGTGTTTTCATCAACTATGTGACTACTAAATGCAGTACTGATTCCATTTTTCATTCCCTCCTAACATTGGCTTATCTGTTTTCAATGCTCAGTGTAGATGAATTAAATTTTTTTCACTGAAGGCACTACATTTTGTCTGAAGTCAATTTAAAATAGCGAAATGTGTTTAGATGAGCTGGTATTCCTCAGAATCGCATAATCTAGAATCTCCAAATCAAAACACGTCACCTGCATGATAAATAAATAAAGTGAAACCGCAAGATGACAGATACTTGACACCACACACACTGGATGACATTGCTGGTTAGTCTGTTTGAAGTTCATAATTTCCTTAGAACTAGATAGTCAGCACGTTAATTTCATATACATAAATGTAACTATACATATCAGTACAAGCATGCTAAACTGGCTGCACAAATCTCAGTTCACTATTCACTCGGTTCAATTTAATATCCACATTTATAATACTTAGATCATGTGATGCTAGAAGTCCATACAGTTTGTAAAATAAATGTCTCGTTATATATTCTCAGGGATTTATTCCCTCGTAAGACAGACTCAGAAATTCACCATTTTCATTTCAATATTTCTGTCTACAAATGACCTCAACCATTACATTCCTACCTACCTAACTGGCTTTGTGAAGTATAGAAAAATCAAAGTATGTACAATGAAATACAAAAATGTATAAATTGCCTCTAACTACCTACCAATGGACAGATTGCCTTCAATGCATTCATTTTTACTAATTTACCATATTCAGTTAGGTCAGATTTTCTTGCAAAATACAGATTCTGAAAAATTATTAGAAACATCGATAAAATAAAATAACGTTTCTTTTAAAGAATAATGAACAGCTTAGCAGTGAAGGCGACGAAATGAAATCGCTTACTTCACTATCATTTCAGAATATGTATGCACAAAGATTCTGAGAGTGTCCCGCCACATCATGGTGTTTTCTGTTGTTTGCAATATACTTTTACAGTTCAGTAATATATGATGTGAATATGATGGGGTTAAATGAGGTGCGATCCCTCCCTTTGATTCAGAATGGTTAAGTATTCTTCATTGTCAGCATTCATGGAATAAATAAATTCATGAATTTATGTATTCCGTGCTTATTTTCTGTCATAATGCATTAAAATGTTAAGCGATGCTAACTTCTTTCACCATCGACCTGTGGATGCAAATATTATATGACTAGAGTTTGTTGGCGTTAACGCTTCACCAATAATAAAACTGTCGCACCATAAAAAGGTAAAGTTTCTCTAATTAAAAAGGTGTAATAATAAAATGTGTCATGATGAAGCTGCTAATGCTTTCAGGAAGAATATGGCCACACAAGAACTCGATTCAACGAAATTCTTCGTTCCACCTAGGAAACGCAGGTGTCAATTTTAGAAGAAACTTATTGAAAATATCACGGTCTCACGTACTGAATGACAAAATTTGAATTTAGTACTTATTGACACGTACAACATTCTATCTGAAATACTGATCAGTTATAATGCATAGTTGTCTCGTATAAATTATTCTGGTGGTCAAATTTCACAAAATACATTACTCTTCAACCAATGCATTCAAGACTAAACAGGAAATTCGATTAACGAATTATTTACTTCAAAATGAGTTGAGATAGTCATCACACTACTGTTTTCCAAGCAAAACAAATTGCATTTTAATCGAATACACTTACGTATATACAACCAACTGAAATTCACATTCTATACGAAATTTCATTGTCATCATGCATAGCTATGTTAATGTTTGAAAGTTAACGGAAAACTTACACGACACAAGCGTATGTGCAATTCAAAAGCAGCTTGCAACTTGCTCTTCTCGGCTGGAGATACTCCCAGTTTATATGCATATTCGTAATACTTTGAGGATATCTTTGCAGCCGCCACCTGTTTCAAGAAAATGTTATGATTGAAAATATTCACTAATTCTTGTACTAGGCAACATAAAGAACGCTTATCTCATGAATAAGACATTAGACAAAACTATTCTGTCGTCATTTCAAAGCATTTTCGTAAGAGACATAGAGAAAAGCTGGTCAACAAACCTACTCTGGGAGGTTACATAACGCGTATCACACTACAAAATCTGTATTCTTAGGATGTTTCATACTGAAATGAGTAAAAGTGGTTATATCTGAAAGAGGCTTACTGGAACCATTAGACTAGTCAAATTTTCTATCCGTCAAAATGCATTGTACTTGCTTTGTTTCATATTGTTTAAACCATTCAATTATCACAGTGAGTCACAGTCTATACTCGCGTATAATTTCAAACAAGTTTCCATCTATCGCTTGGAATTTGTTGAACGAAGTGAAAGAACAACATCGGAGAGTAGTACCGGAGTATGCCTCGGGTGGAACAACACTGCTGCAGATGAAATATTATTGGTTATTGTATTATTTGAAGATTCTGCACAAGGAGTAAATATCTTGCCAGAAAGGGTGTTGAGGATTCTGCATTGTGTTTAAATGCATCTTTCAGAATGAAGCTATTAATATCGCACTTGTATTGCATTGCTTGTTGTAGTCAAAGGAACTCATACTTTCCCATGCAAAATATAGACTGAGTTTAGTGAAATTTTAATTCATTCTCTTTTGCATGAACAGTCACACTTGTGAAAGGACAGATTTCACTGATCTTAAAGACTATTATGACTGTAAAATGCACGACAAAGTGAACTAACCAAATTGAAATTTCAAGGATTGCCTCATTGATGAGTGTACTTCAGTGACTTATTTCATCTCAACTTTCTAATGACTTTGACAGACCAGATTAGTTTGAAGAAATTAAAATTCAACTCATAATCGAGTATGAAACTACTTTTGAAATAGGTTTCGTTTTCTACATCCTTTATGCCGTTGCAACTTTACCAGTTTGACTGGTGAAAGTCTTCAAATATAACTGTTTTTGATTGAACTGCGATATCACTGCGCAAGTCGTCTGAAGTTATTAGGAGTAAATTCATGTAGACCTAATCAGACATCGCCAGATTCCTGTCAGGATTTTGAAGGCTGAAGTTTTCAGCAATTTATGAAATGTTCACAAGCAATTGAATTGAAACTTCAGAAATCCTCAGGTCACAAAGTGATCAGTTTTTTCACTTCCATATTGAAGGTTACTCTGACCTGTGATCACAAGTCACCCAGTATAATTCAAGTCATTCCATATTATTGAAATAATGGAGAAGATTTGTAGCTCAGATGGACGATATTGAATTAGTTGTGTTCTCTGAGCTGGTTGATTTAAATGCGAAGCTGAAGTCGTTGTCTAGAAGAATGACAAAAGCTTCGTAATTAAATCAACCAGCTCAGAGGACACAGCTTATTCAATAAATATCATTTTTTCCGGGTCAATAGGCGAAAGTGACTAAAGAGTGTATTTCATCTGAAAGTAATCACAAAGTGACAAGTATTAGGAGCAATCAATCATTTACACTGATCGATCCATTACTATTTAACTATTATTAATTGCACAAAATTGATATTTTTTCCTCCTATTTGGTTAGTATTCATTGAATTTAGGCAAATTTTTGAGATTACCTCTGATTTACAAGCATCCTTGTACGAAGCGAATTTTCCATCTGAAATCTAGAAAAATTAGAATTTTAAAGAATATCCCTTTTCACAAATGTTATTGCATACATCAAAATAAGTTTAACTGACAATAATAACACGTAGAAAAGAAATAAATGCTTTTAGGCACTTAAAGACTCTACAACTGACTAGCGTTTTTCTGAACGTTTTTCATCTAACCAGACTTCGCTGTGACTTCATTGACTTATCTCAGAAAAACTTTTCGTCTTCTGAAGGGTGAAAATTTTAATTTTCAAAGATGTGTATGGACTCATATAATGACGGGTTTTATATGCACCTTTGTATATTTGAAGTACTAAACTTTTCCAAAACTTCGCTGTGGATTGTGCTAATAATTCTCAGATAAATCAGTTCGTATAGACTTTGTTTCGTATAAACTTGATCCTTTTTTACAAGGTAGGCAAATGTAAGTTCTCAGTGCTGTTTATGGATTTTAATGCCTCCTGTCAATTGGCATCAGGTCATCTTTACAAAGATGTCAAACAGTTTCTGTGCTCAGTGAAGAGAAACCGATGAACACTGACACCAACTTACTCTAAACAAACTGGTGTTTTTGCTTAATTAGTAGTCCGCGTTCTTAATCGAAAATAAGTGTTTGATTTACTGAATAAAAATGTTGCAACCACACTCTCGGTCACCATTTCTTCATGATTTTAATTCGCTATCAGTTTTAACTAATAGAGGAAGTGTAGACACAGAGAGAGATCTTTGTCGTCAGCTGAAGGAGAGGATTCTGCATAGATACTTTGGTGAATGATGACTTATTTATAATTACCGTTAGCCCTACTCTACAGACGTCGGCTAATACATTTTAGCAACATTTGACCATGAAGCTTCCACCGTAATTATTCAGTATTCATTCATCTGCAATTCTTTCTTATATCCTAACAAACAGCAATAGCTGCAGACTTATCGTGTGTATTGTTGCACACCGTAAATGAGGCAAGAGAAAATACCTCTGAATTGCCAAGTTGAATAAATTCGTATTCTTTGTCAAGTTGATGTACCATTATGAAATACCTGATTAGTTTTAATTATACATCTAGCTTACATGAATCGTTTCGCTTTCCGCATTAATATCAATGGAAAATAAAGGACAGCTTCCTGTTATGCTCAGAATTGGAAAGTAGATATCATTTAAACTGAAATCGTCAATTTCTTGTTCTAGCGTTGATGTTTCGGATAGATTTTGAGAAGGAGATGGCAACAAATCCCATCCACCAAATGATTTTTCTATCAAACGAGTTATCTGTCTTCTTGTCTGCTGGAGAGAAATATTTCTGTGTTCCACACAGGATTTGTAGAATTTGCGAGCAGTGGTTAGCCGAGTATCGTTCGTGGAATACGACTCGTTAGCTATGTGGTAATATGAATAAGGAAATCACATCAGTGTGTCAATGATACTAGGTGACAAAACAGTCTGAAGCTGTTAAGTAAATCACACATTTACATTTCAACACATAACCACGGTGAATTCAACCCGGCATATGACGACACTTGTATGACTTAACTATTGAAAGTATTACCTAAGGATTCACATATTCCAACTGGATCTAAATGTAACCGCCGTATTGACCACTTCCGTATGCAAAGACATAAAAAGCGTTTTGGAGAAATCATCAAAACTCCACTTTAGCAAAAACCTTATTTTTCTAATAACCACAGTATCCACTTTAGCAAAAACCTTATTTTTCTAATAACCACAGTGGATAGATAGTATTTCCATAACTGACGGCATATGACAATGACAGTGAATAAAGGTTCATTTTTCACACATAACCCATTCGCTCTGTGAAAACAGAGACATAAGTGAAGGGCGATACTTCAAAAAATTCATTTTATAATCAAAGTTTTTGTTACACTAAGAACTAACTTCAATTCCATTATTCACAATATTGCTCCATATATTTTACCGAATGCAGACAATTAGTGAATTGATGAAATCAGCAGAAACATTTTCAGAAAAACTAATACTACTGATAAGTAGCTGTATACTACTCACATCAACCAGTGGTGACTGCTAGCCAGATAGAAGTGGTCCGAGCACCAGGCAGTAATCTTGCTCATTTGGGGCCGAAATAATTTGCAGGTCGTGAGTTTGATTTGGAGTATTACCAGTTCGCTCATGTAGCTATCCAGAAATCGGTTGGTTTGAACTGATGCGGCTTTCTGAGCTGAGTCAAACCAGGTAGTAAACAACTACTCATCTCAATAAATAATTATTATATAGTTAGTTCCACCTATTTATGCTTGCTTTTTTGATTACCACTTATAGTATCAAGCATATCACACATTGTGATATGAAAAGCGTTTGATGTCTAGAGCTGAACTCAGCCTTGTTCAAATTTAAAATCACTTTGACAAATTTTCTTATCCACAGATGTGGACCTCTTAGTACTCACTGAATATTTATCAGGCAACTGAATTTCTGTTATAATGTGATTTGGGGTAATAATCTCCACTGACTTAAACTAACAAAGCTGTTCGAAGTCAGACTGAAACAGCCTTCTCTGTGGTGTGGTATTTCGGTGGAAACTTATTTTGCATGTTATTATGATCATAGTTGTCAGACGGTAATAAAAAGTTGACCTGAGCTCATAAACTATTCGCCGGCAATCCGTTAATCCATAAAGACGTTAATTCTTCCTTTTGATGAAGCGTATTTTGTTATACATGCTTGTCAAAATCATTTAACACACTTGTCCCCACACTCTGCTAAGGATTAGATAACCCGCCAGAAATAAGTGGAAACAAGGAACTCTGACAGGTGGCTTACCAACAAAGAACCTATCACTGAACCAATATGCGAAAGAAAATGAAGATGAACTAGCCACACACTAAGGAGATGTTCGAGTGAAATAGTACTCTAAGAAGGCTCTCAAGTGTAACCCGTTTAGGGAAAGATGAGTTAGGCGTTGGTCATGGAGAGATGTGGAGGCGATCTTCTGATGAGGAGATGAAAGCTTATGGTCACTCGTATAGACAGCTTAAAAGGATTGTAGAGAACAGGGTAAGATGTATGTGTGCTACTGAAGGCCTATATGTTACTTGCAAACCATGAGATCAATAAAATAATAATTATGAGTTCAGTACGAAATATATCTTTCTTACCAATTATTTTCCAGATGTCACGAAGTGTCTTATTTTCGATTTGCAACATTCTTGTGATGCTCAACTCGCCTTCCAGAATGGTGTGATTATTTTCCCAATCAGAGCAAGCATATTGGTAGAAGTCATTACATGGATCAATGAGAGAAGAAGTGTTTGTAAGATTATAACTCTGTCTCACAGAGATTGCTACAAGGGAGAAATATTCACACTAGCGTGAGAGTAAAAATAGAATGCAAACAGAAATAAAGGGGAGCAGAAAAGAAAGGAATTATGGACCAAGAAATGAACACAGCAAATCAGAAAAGTTGAAGTCAACTCCAGAAGCTGAATCAGTTGTTGTCATCCATCAATGGTCCAACATGCTGATGGCTAACTAGTTCACGCCTGCATTTTCATCATACTCAAAAAGGGCACAAGTGACACTTGTCATCATAGAATTCACTCCTTACACGGTAGATACACTAAAAAATCAATGAGAAATGATAGAGTCATTACCTCACCGAGAGTATTTCACAGCAAACGCATTGAAAGCGCGTCATCTATGGATTGATATTTCAGGCAGTCCCTGTAAACTGGTTAGTTATACAGTCGGAAGACTCTCTCCCATTTCGGAGTAAGATGTCTAGTTTTCGCACCAGTATAGAAGACCATGACGTAAGTGGTGTCGTAGACCACATCAAGCTGAAATATGCTGGAGAACAGTTGGTATCAATCATACTCGTAATAATGCATCATGAAAGTGACCGAAAATACAAATTTAAGTAAACTTATTTGTTCCACTTGAGTCAGTTGATGTGTTGTTGTCGTGTGATGAATAAACTGATACAATTTAGAGATAACATTTATTTATTTGACTCTTTCATTTGTCTGTCGTGTGTTTCTTTTTACCCTTTTCGTTATTTTGGCTCAATATGGAATAGTGCAGGCCATCCGTATGTATTGGAAAGTTCGGCTGAGAACTACGAGTGTGTTCGATTTCTGCATACGGTTGATTCATTATGAAACCCTGTTAGCTAGTATTGAGACCGTTAAAGTGGTATTTGTGCGTGAGATAATGTAATCCTCCCTGTGAAGACAACGCAAGCACTTATTTGACTTCAAAGCTAGAAGCCCTACGTGCTTTTTCAACCTCAATGGAATGAAATGAGCATCTAGAGTAGCTTATCTTTCCACGTTGTTCGTCGTTGGTTCAGCGGTAAATGCTCGCCGACAATGCACGTGGCCTGGGAATAAAATCAAAAAATAAGTAAATATCTTTCCACGCAACTTTGGTTGTATGTATTCATTACGTCAATCCGCAGGAACCATAAGCCTCATACACGTTCACGTTGATATCAAAATAATAAGGATGATAACAGTGAAATATAATGGAAGTTCATTGACCGCATTCCATGAAAGTATTTTCGATGATATTTCCAACAAAATAAAATCATACTCTGTATTTTAGATTATGTCAACTGAGTTCAAAATGTGTCATTATGAAATGGGATCAAAGGAAAACTAGACAGCTGTTTCCTCCCTGTTTGGGATTATTATTCAGTAGAACGCAACCAGTGGAGCTCGAACCTGAAACTTTCCGGTTTCAAGGCAAGCTGGTTGTCCACTCAGCCAGTGGGACTCAATTTAGTGGTTAGATGATGAATTCCAATTTCTGCCAATTCGTGAAATATATATATATATATATATATATATATAACGTAACTGCCAGCCAGTGTGATCGTTGAGTATTAGTCCTCAATCCCGACCAGGTGGACGCGCCGGTCAAGACTTTGCAATAGAACTGCAGGCAACGTCATCCTGTAGCTATTTGCAAGCCTGTTGGTCGCGCGAAAGTTTCAAATTTGTAGAATTTGGAATTCATGTGCCATTGGATCAGGTCCCGGTGGCTGAATGGTCTGTGAGCTTGCCTTCTAACGAAGGTCCTGAATTTGAACTCTGGTGGGTGACCGATGCTAAAGGGTCACAAACTTGGAAGGAATAGTTGTTTAATTTTTCCTTGTTTTCCAGAGGTTTTTTAACCGATGTCAAATGGTGATCACATTTGAAGCAAATCAGATACCTACAAACTACCCCTTGAAAAAATAGAATAATGTGAGAAGATGGAGCAAACATGCGTGAAATATGTAGGATATATGTTACTTATAGCAAAAATCTCAATTCACTGTAACACCCATCAAATGTTGAATAGTAGGTAGCATTCGGAATGGTTTAAGTCGAATCCAGATGTCCCCAATGACGAGATTTCAAATTGCATATTCACATTTAACATATATATTACATAATATTATATATAATTGGAAAAAGAAGAACTTACGGAACACAAAAACATTAGCAGTTTAAAGCATAAAAAGAGCTAAATTACCGTTGCAGCGACACAATGCACAATAAAGGAGCACTGTAAATAAAGTTGAGATGAATATTCTTGAATTTAAAAAGAAGTACCAGTATACACCGTAATTCTGTTGATCAAGACTCTAATATTCATTCTCTTTCAACAACATCAGTGAACAATTCTAACCGTATACCTCGCTTTTATACTTAGTCAGTAAAAATACCTCAAATTAATTAATGAAGATATTTCGTTTTATATCAGATCATTTATTTTAATGAATACTGCTAAATACTTTCTAGACACCCTTTCAGAACAAGTTTATCAGTGATGGCCTCAACATACTTCAGACTTTCAAAATATTCTTTTATCAATAGACATACAAGAACTGAAACTGTGAGAGGTCATTAAACAAGGCGACTGGGTAAATACTTAGAATTCCATTGTATACTTTTGATTTTAATTAGATTTACGTTGATTAATTCAACAAAATCAGCTATACACAGCGTGTTACTGAAGGTAATGAGTAAACAGAAATTGTTCTTCCTGATCTTCATTCTTCACCCACCATACTATAGTGATTTAAACAGTGAGAAGTTTCTTGCCTGCTAAAATATGAAAGATCATCATTAATAAAAAATATCGTGTCTATGGGTGAACGAGCAACGATATCTGTGTACTAACGTTTTATTATTCTATGATATCTATATTATAACGTTATTTTTTATTCCAGAGAAGCACAGTATTTCACATCGACTGAAACTACGTGACGAGTTGGATAAAGTGGAACATCATATCACAACGGATCATTTTGGAACCATCTACTGACTCAAGAGAACAATGTTTACATGACTAGCATGATAAAAGATTTCTCTTCGCTTTCTCAAGCCATTTAAAACCGTAAAACTATATATGCTCATTGATAGTGTTCTCTATGATAAGTAATAATTCGCACTGATATCAGATTTGAATTGTGAGCAAAAGACTTTGAAGGCTATTTCACTTATCCACTTATACTTTGCATTTTACGTTGACATATTTGTTGTATATATAGTTGATATTTAAATGAACAATAATTCTGACAAAAGTTGTATAGAATGAATCTATAAATTTTTTGGTGGCTTACATCAAATAAATACACCTGATCAACAGGAAAGTCTAACACGCAGTGAATGGTGATATAATAGTGACGTAATTATTGCAAAGAGAATAAATCAGGAAATGAAATTTTCAGAAGGCACACATCAACCCGTGACAAGCAGAAACTCAATATCTTTATACTAATGATGAATAACGCGTTCTCTCAAGGCAGACAAAATCAACCGGCTCGGAAAAAGGCGCGTTATGGAATAATTGTTTGAAAAATCTCTCCTGTACGATCTAGTTACAATATTGATAATAATTTGGATATTTCAACAAACTTTGTGATCACTTTATCCTTTTCTCTCAGCCTGTATACCACTATTCTAACGTTTTCATAGCACCTGTTGAATTATTGCCTATAATTTGTCTTTGCTTATTGTGTAATCTTTATTTTAAAATTTCCTCTTTGCAGTTGTGTGATAGTGTTGATAACGTGTTGTTTTACGACTGCGATACTGCTGGAATGAATTCATGGTTGACCGTGGGGATTTCAAATTTCGACTGACTGTGAGAATTCTTTGGTGCGTGATTCTTGCTGGCAGATTTTCGTCCATAATCTGTTCGGAATATTGTGATTGAGTGTCAGGTATTTCTTATGGTTGATTTTTGGTTATCTAATTTTGTTCTACACTGTCAGTTTTGCATAGGAGAATTCTCTGATCTGCACAGCTGCATAATAGCACTGTTGAAGTAATTTTGAGTTTCCGATATGTTATTCTTGTTAAATAGTACCACAGATCTTAATCGCAACCAACTATTGTTAAGTTGTTGTTGGGGCACTTTGAGACTATCCGTCACTCAAGGGAGCAACCAAGTATCCATCTTGTGCTGCTGGGTCTGCAAGAACTGAATGTTATTACTGTTACTCTTGGTATGCATAGGTGGGTCCTGAAAGACGTCAAGTGGCACAAACTAGATGCATCAATAAACATTATAAATCATACTTATCATAATGCAATGACTGAATAAATAAAGATTCCTTATTCCTACCCGAAAATCGCCACCACAAGGAGTGCATATATTGCCTCCATTCTGAAAGATAAAAAACAGCTTTTATTTTGAAACTAACTTGAGATACTTACAAGTAATTACCCGGTATCACGATGACCGTGGTAATTATGACCAGTATCATTGTGAATACAATCACCTAGTAAAATTACATATTATACATTTGAAAAATTAAAATATTATGAATTTCACTTCTCAACTAATATATATATATATATTATGCATGTTATCACTCTCTATCTATCCGTCAATTAGTTAGGTAAGGACCAATCATGTACGACCAGCTTACATGATAATATTCGATTGTCAGCTGCATATTCATGTGTGTCTTGAATTTACTTTCTTTAATAACGCTATTGAAATGTGCTTAGCTCTAATATTATACCTCATTGAAAGTCATACAAACTAAAAATAATTGACATTCAATTAGAGAATGATGAAACAATGGTTAGTTTTCATATAACTAGTCTTTATACCGATATACCAATCAATACAACTGCATTAGAAGCAGTTATAAAAGAATCAAATGAGGATGCTGAAAGCACTCATAGGACGAAGCTGTCCATTGA